GGCCCATAGGTCATGCAAAGGCCACGTGCAGGGCCTGTTACTATGGCACTTACAAGATAGCCTTTGCACTGGCAGCACTCACAGAGCAAATTTCCAAGACATCCCTTTGGTATTTCCAGTGGATAGGGTCATGGCTGAAAGGAGATGGAGAAGGTCACAGTCAGGGGCACCTGAGGGTGCTCTGTGGTAGTGAGCACAAAGTTAACCCCCTCCAGAGAGAGGGACAAGGGTTGTCACAGTGCAGGCATATTCCAGCCAGGGGATTTATAAGCAAGGGATGGCTGAGCCCTGGGATTGACTCAATAGTAGACTCAGTCTAAGGGGTGGCCAAAGAGCAAAACAGGATCAGATTGTGTCATGCAAAACCCCAACAAGAATCCCTGAAACTCACAAATACATTTCCTTAGAGGAGCAGTAGCATGAGTAGGTACAAAAGCCCAAAAGTCTTGGAGCAGAAGGCCAGATCTGTTCACCTTCAGAGGTGATCATAAGCCCACAAGGACAAACCTAACATCAAAGTTGTGGTAGGTGAGTAAAGAGAGGTGAAGACAGGATGGAAGACCACCAGCCAGCATGAAGACCCCTGGCCTGGGCTACAAACTCACCTACTTGCACAAGAGAAATGTTTATTTTTCAGCAAGGTGAATTAAGTACTTGGTATTTTCGAGCCTTTTATCTCTACTTGTACGTGTAGGCCTTGCTGGAATGTTGATTCTAGCTTCTAGCATTACACACACACACTTCACACAAAGGCTTTGCTAAAGCATTAGCCACAGTAGGCCTAATCAGTGAGCCTGACCAATGCATGAACTCCTTACATAAGCAAAGCTTAGAACATGGGCTAGATGTGCACTCCTGTCAGGAGATGGGAAGGGGAGATGGCCATACAAGGTGCAAAATAGTCCAGTACCAGGATATGGCTGGAACAGGAACACCCATATCAGGATGTGGAACTGTAGCAAAACCCCCAGTTTTTCTTTTTTTATTTATTTTAAAATGCATTCCCTCCCCTTCCCCAACCGTTTCTGACTTTTTCTCTCCCTCTCTATTCCCTATAAATAAGTATAAGTAAGCTAAGATGTAGGATAAGCTTTAACATTTTATTTTAGGTAGTAAGTTTTATTTTTCTCTCCCCTCT